CCCCCCCCCACCACCACCACCACCACCACCACCACAAGCCTGCTTCCAAATGTGCTTCTTCCTCTTTTATGGGTTTTTTTTCTATTCAAGAGCATCTCAGTGATTTTATGTTCAGATTGTTTAACGCTTTCACTCGAAATCCTGCCGCCTGCTTGTGCTGAGATCTTTTCTGCTGCTGCTCAAACTGTGCACTCTGATGTTGGATGGATTCGCTGCCCTCCAGCTTCAGCTCTTCTCCTCGCGCTGCTTCTCTGCGTGAATGAAACATATGATCTCTTTTTTTTTTTATTTTGCACTTGAAAGTTTTTGTGCAACACGTTTGTTAAAATTCCCCAAACAACAGACGACCAGGTGTAGTGACGTCTGATTAAATAGCCCCGCCCTTGTTGCGATGCGTTGAGGCGGCTCTGTGTTGACCAAGGATCTGCTGGACTCCGTGAAGGTGTCGTCGAGCACACCGACAGCGAGCCGGTGGTTTAATAAATTCGTGGAAGGCGGGAAATGCGTGAACTCAGTTAAAGTAACCGTGCTTACAGGACTCTCAAAAAAGAAAAGCTAACACACCCACAACAAAGGTGGGACAGTTTATTTTGTCAACACCACAAATCCAAGCACAAGCTGAGGCTGTTTGAGTGCAAGCACAACCATCAAATCTGTCCGAGCAGCAAACTATCTGGGTGCAAGAGCACAGTTTGAGCACAAGCAGGAGTGCAAGCATTATAAAATGTGAACATGCAATCTCTCAAGCTGAAAGACCTCGCTCCTGAATACAGAGGGAAAAAACCCATATTCTTCTTCCTCGTCTTCTTCCTCCTCGTCTTCTCTCTGTGCTGCAGTGATGTGCTCACAGCTGACACGACACATTAACAGAGGTCTTAAGCCAGGTCACTGCACTTCCCGAGTCTGTTTTCCGAAGGCTTTGCACCGAGAAAACAAAAAAGCAATGCCAGCACACATGATTTCTCTCCCAGAACATTTTCTTCATCTTTGCTGATGTAAGAATTGTTCGCTAAAGCTGATGTAGAGCATCTGACATGGCCGCTGCAGAATTCTGGGTAAGATTTCTGTGGAAGCGTGATGAGATGATGAAGATCGTCTCAGAGCAGTTACATAGAATTACTCAAGAGTAAAACTTCAAATGTCACGTGTGATTTAAACCTTATTTTCCATATGCTGAAGCTCACATTTACCAGCTTTACCACGAGCCATGAATGCGTCACACTGTCTGGAAGGTGTTTCCGAGGGGCGCGGTCTTCGAATGTAAACCTGTAACCAAGATGTTTTGCTGTCGTCCATCTTTATTTGATTAAAAACAGTTTATCAGTCAGTGGATGGGATGTAATTAGAAATAAATCGTGTCGTATTTTAAGTTAACTACGTTTCAGAGTCGTCCTGAAATGTTTGTGCATCATACTTGAAGAGTTTAACTCGTTAGCGCTCGTTTGCTCTCGACATTACAGAGTTAAAGTTGACTCTGCTATTCGTCCTTTTCGTTCGTTGTCGCTCTTCCTGTGTTAGATAATGTGAACAATCTCCTGCGAGGAAACAAGAACAGAACACTTCAGCTCTCTGACTCAGACCCTCTGCACACACGGCAGCTCGTTTTTCCATGACGCCACGATCAAACCTCTCAGTCGGCCGTCGTAGGTGTTACACAAAAAAAGTCCAACAAGTTGCACTCCTGGAAATGACCGGGCTAATTCTGTTAACACACACACACATTAAACTGAACATCTGGTTCTGTTTCCGAGGTGTTTTCTTCAGCTTCATCATGCTCCGCTCATCTTGCTTTTTAAATATGATCTCACAGCTGGCATTACTTTTTTTTTTTTAAACCACCGTGTGTGTGTGTGTATGTGTGTGTATGTGTGTGTGTGTGTGTGTGTGATGCACGGTGCAGAAGTCGATGTGGTGCGTCCCCCCGGTGACGCTTCACAGAGACATTATTGCCCATCACTGTCAATGTTCAATGAGCAGCATATGTCCAACAGTAATCTTAACGAGATCGCAGCCCATAACCATTACCGCCCTGAATGGACTCCACATCGATTGCGTCCGTCTCAAACGCAGGAAACGACAGCAAACGGCCAATTTCCTTCAGTTGCGTAATTTTTTTATCGCTGCTTTTTATTTGCTCCACATCAGTCCTAACCTTTTTTTAAACATCTTCTGCTCACACCCAGGTGATAAAGTTCCCCTGCTTATGAATCCAACGCGTCAAAATCAGAGCCGCGATGACCCAGCATGTGTTTGTCGACTTCTGGATGCGAGCTCGTTAGCACATGTCAGGTCACCTGACGTAAATCATCCCACACGAAGCAAACTTCAGTTATACGACAGAGATTCAAGTAACCGAGCCTGACCGGAACGGGAGGCTCGTTGGGTTTATTGTGTCCGAACCAGATTCTGACAGCTGATGAATTTAATTTAAGCTGATTTTTTAGTTTTTGACAAACACGGTTATTGAATCCTGAACCTGAACCAGAATAAGATAAGTCCTCAGGTCGGGTTTCCACACTCTGTGATGTCAGGTTTGTCTGTGTCCTGACGGCAGAAGCTGAAAACACAAGCAACCAAACACCGAGACGAGTAAGAGATGGAGCGACCACCGATCACCAGACCCCAAAAACCTCCAGAGTGAAGCAACATCGTGATAAATAAAAAAACCTTCCAAACAGTGAGAAGCACCGAGACTTTAGTTTCTGGTCACATCGCGTTTTGAAAAATCTGAATGTGCTCGTCCTGTGTGATGTAACTGATATGATGAGTTTACGTGTTGCAAAACAGACGCCCCCTCCCCTCCCCCTCACCACCAGCCTTACATAAGAAGAATCATTTTTGTGATGTGACTCGATCGATGTGCTGCTTCTGCACTTTGCATAAATGTGAATGTGCACAGAGTCCCCGATGCTCTCCGTGTATTTCTCTGTATTTACATGTGGCTGGTGTGTTTGTGTCGGAGCCTCAGATGAAACAGCACAGTCGTATTTATAGATGGTCGCCATGGAGCTCAGAGACACTTCCTGTGTTTACAGATTATTAACCCGCTCGTCTCTTTCTACTTCTCTTTTCTGTTTTTCTCTCACTTCGTCCTCTCTTCCTCTCCTCCATCTCTCCTTTATTTGACATTCCTTCATCCACCATCATCCTCCACTTGCTTCCTTCCTCTCCCTCTTTTTCATCCTTTCTCTTCATCCCCCCTTCTATCACCCTCTCTCTCCAGAGCGTGGACCCCGTATGAACAACACCCCGCAGCTCTCCTCCGGTCCCACCCTGCACTCAGGTAGCGGTAAAGGTGGCGGCGGTGGCAGCTTCATCAGCGGCGGCATGAGACACAACAGCAGCCACCCTTCCTTCTCCCACTCCTTCCACAACCTGGCCCAGCTGCCGCCGTCCTACGAGGCCGCCATGAAACCGGAGATCAACCGCTACAGCTCCCTGAAGAGGCTGGGTGAGTCCAAATGCACAAGCGAGACAGAAATGTCCGGAGATTGTCCGCAGCAATTGACTTGGACATTCTCGTCCCCACATACAGACCCTCTGGATATTTCCAGTTTGTCCGGATTCTTCCAGATCCAAATCTGACAGGCGTTACCCGACCCTGATGTTTCCCTGATTACTGACACATGCAACTTGAATCATCAAGATAGCCCAGCAAACGAAAAACAGGATTTACAACCTGCAGCCAACCACCAGGGGGCGATCAAAATTTGTCTGTCATGATTTTATTAATCACACAAACACGTCTTTGTAAAAATAAAACTACGAGCCAGTTATTCTCACACCGTCGTCCACCCTGCGTCTCTTCTCTTTCTCTCATCGCGTCCCAGTTTGTTAAACTTTCACACGGCTGATTCTCCCGGGAGCAGAGAGGTCTGGCCGCCAGGAGATTTGTGACTCAGCTGCAAAGCCAAATAATCATCTCGCTGCGGCTCGGACGTGAAAACAGTTCCTGCTAAACAGCCGTAACAATCAAGTAAACAGAGGAGGGGAAGAAACGAAGGGGTGAGGGAGGGGGTGGCTGTGAGAATGTGAGAGATGGATGACAAGAAGAAGGGAGAGGATGGAAATGAAGGAGATAAAAAAGTGACAGACAGGTGGCGTAGAGGTGAAGAGGAGTAAAGAAAAGCACCGGTTTATAAAGACAGAGGAGAAACGAAGGAGGAGGCAGAGAACAGGCGGATGAGGGATGAGAGAAAACAGAAAACTTGGGAGAAACTGTAAATGTGAAGGCGCTGACTGGGCAAATAAGGAAGAAAAGAAAGACTGAGGAAGATAGAGATGCAGAAGGAGAAGAATGAAGGGAGAGGCAGTGACGGAGAGGAAGAGAGGATTGGAGGGAAAGAGAGATGTGGAGATAGGGGGGAGGGGTGTTGGCTGGCTGGTCTGCAGGGGCCTGGCTGCCGTCGATGGGGAAGAAAAGATGTTTGAGAGGCAGCGGATGGCAACCCCTCTCTCTCTCTCTCTCTCTCTCTCTCTCTCTCTCTCTCTCTCTCTCTCCTCTGTCTGTCTGAAGCTCTCTCGCCCTGCGACTGCTGGAGCCTGCAGGGGGAGGGGACTCTGCAGCTGAGTGATGGATGGTTACTCCTCGGCCGAACGCGTGTGTGTGTACGTGGAAGCGATAATGAGGTGAAAGCGGAGACCAGATGGAGCTCTTTATTATTTCATTTCACTCGAAAGGAGAAAACACTTTGCTCTTAAATCCTTTTTCTCTTTGTAACGTGATTAAAGTCATGTGAAGACACGCCCCTATTCCATGCCATATATTTAAATTTTCAATTTTTCTAACTGCGACTTATTTACTTTATTGCTTCTTATGTGTGATGTTCTTGCAAATCACAGCTCGGCTTCATGTTCATGTACGTATTAGAACGAACACATTTCATTCCCTTTAGGTTCCCGCACGCTCGCCTACATGTCTCGTCATCAGCAGCAAAGTCGTTCAGGGGCTTTACGACTCATTTATTTATCCTTTAAGTGCGAAAACAGATCAAACGATGTGACCGTTACCTCCCACATACGTCCACGCGTCCTTTACGTTTCTGACAACAAGAAACAAACCTCAAAAAGTTCCTCAGCTGAAATCTCTTCCTCGTATCTTCTCGTCCTCTCGCTTAAACTACTGGCTTCGCTGCCCCCTCTGGATTTACGATGGTACTGCTCCGTTTCGTCCATATCCGTAAGCTTTCAGACGACGCTCACAAATGAGGTCGTTGAGCGTAAATGAGCCTTTAGTTTTAAAACCAACAGAAACACAAGAACGAATCATGATCCGTGCAGCGGATGATTTTTATTTCCCACAACAGAGCTACGAGACGCTGAGAATGAGGCTGAGTCACAGTTGCAGTGAATCAATGTTTTCACTCGTCTGATTATTAAATGCCTGAATGTCAGTTTTGGTGGAACACCTCTTCAGACGGAGACTAAAGCGTTGTCTTTATTTCTCACAGAGAGGGAACTCTGCCTCTTAGCAGCCACCGTATGAAACCTGGTCCTTTTGATGTCGCTCCCCGCACGGCAGCGTGGAGAAAAAGAGGATGATAAAAGCTTCTTTGTCTGCAGCCAGGGAGGGACGGAGGGATAATTTGGCCTTACAGGATGGGAGTAAACAGAGAGTGGGAGAGAGAGAGGGGAGAAGGATGAAGAGGAGGGCGAGGGCACGAGACAAAACGGCAAGAGAGAGAGAAAGGGAAAGATGGCGGTGAAAACCTGGAGAGCGGGAGGGGAGACAAAAGGAAGAGGGAGAGGAGAGGGAGAGAAAAAAGAAGAGGGGAGGAAGAGGTAGAGCGGTGGCTGGGTAAAGGTCAGCTTTAAATTGGCTCTCGGAGAGCTGCTTCCATGGAAATGCTTTGAAGATTAAAGTGGTCTCCGGCTGTGGAGCAGAAAGCACAGAAACACTGTATTTCACTATTAATGAAGCTCACTAACTGTTCCATCCACGTCTTCACCTCTTTCTTCTGTCGCTCCGTTTCTTCATCTCCACGTCATTTACGTCGACATCGTCTCTCCTCACCTCGTTTTAAACTTTCCTACAGACTCAGTTTTATCTTTCCCCCGTCGCAGTCTGGTTCGTCCACTCGTCTTTTACCTTTTCTCCGTTGAGCCTCATGCGATATACAGTGTACACCTCTCTTTCACCCCCTTTTCTTTCGATCTCTCTTTTTCCATCATCCATTCTTGTAATTTTCCGTCTTTCCTCCTCGTCTTCCTCTGACTCCTTCACCTCCAGTTCACCCTTTGCTGTTTATCTTTCAAGGCGCTTCACCTCCCTTTCCCGTGACAGATTTCTCTCCTCACGCCTTTTTTTGTCCGTCAACTTCTCCTCTGTTTTTTAATTTTCACCTCATTTCTTTGCATTTATCTCTTTTTCTTTCTTTTGGGATTTGAAATGTTTCTCAACCTTGGAAACAACAGTTTCACCACGAGGTCCCTTCAGAAGCTGTTCTGGTGCTTTCAGTCATTTCACACATCAGCAGATGAGTTTTTGCTCATTAACCGATAAAAAAACATTTGTTGTGTTTAAAATACACGATTCTGTCTTTGTTTTGTTGAACCAGAGAAAGAACTCGACGAGTACTCCAGCTACTACAACTCCAAACGCCGCTTCAACAACGCTCCGCCGTCCTTCCACTCGTCTCAGCACCACCTGCCCTGGGGAGGTGAATACACGCTGGGATCTCGGGGGACGCTGCCCCTCAACGGCTCCCGGCCCCGTCTCCACATCCCCGCCTCCACCCCGAACCCGTACCCGCTGCCCACCCAGACGCAGTACACCAGCTTCTCGTTCGACAGGCCGCCGCGCCGCGTCCGCTCACAGGACCAGCTGCTGGCACTCGGGGACAACACGCTGTCCCGACTGTCCAAGAACCAGCAACACCAGTACTACAAAGCCATGATGAGCACCAGCAGGAGCTCCAACTCACAGACGCTCCGCAGGTGAGTTTAGAGACCGGAGGAGTTGGAGGACAGCAGAGGTGAGAGGAGGAAGATGAGAGGATGAGGTGTGATGAGAGGAAAATCAGATGAGACAAGGAGATGAAAAACCAAGGAGAGAGAGTCGAGATCAGAGAAGGTGAAAGATGAGAGGGGAAGCAGGTCGTCTTGAAATCAGACGCTGGGTGAAGATGGAGGCGAGATGAAGAAAGAATAAAAGCAAAGGGAATCAGAGAATAAAATATTAGATTAATGTCAAGAGCAGAACAGTTTCATTAAAGTTTAAAGAGTCTGACAAGGTGAGGGTACACTGCTCATTTTTAATAACACAGATACTGTTCAATTTCAAACATTTTACTTTCAGCTCCACGGTTCTTGACCTGGAAAACAAGATCCAGGTCAGAGGGTGGTAAATAATTCAGGAGCACCCTGTGTGAATAATTATTAAAACCATATAACTATCAGAGACGCCCTGGGGAAGAGATGAGAATGTCAACAATTCCCAGTGTCACAATGTTTAAGAAAGAAATTCCTGGATCTGCTCCCTGATTCGGATCTGCACCAAAATGTAATGTGTTCGTCCTTTGCCCATGTCCCATGAATCCAGCAAGTTTAGTTTGACTCCGTTTGCGTAATCCTGCTGATTAACAGACGAACATAAAGACGAGTGAAAACACAACCTCCTCTGTGGAGTTAATATCAACAGAGAGAATAAACAAGTCTCTGGTTTCAGGTCCCACGAGAGGCTCCTGGTCTCCCCCGACCGTCTGGAGGACCGGCTGATGGCGATGGGGCTGATGATGGGAGGAGGCGACAGAGGAGGAGGAGGAAGTGGGATGGTGCCGACCATGGGCCGGCTCAGCCACCACCAGAAGGCCCAGTCGCAGCAGAACATCTGCGTCACGCCGTCCATGGATCGCCACCACATGATCAAGATGAACTCCCACCCGACGCCAGGCCACGACCACGACCGCAGCTCCGCCGCCATGCCCGGGATGGGCATGCACGGCGGCTGGGACCCCCACCGGGGCCACGGCGGAGGTGGAGCGGGGACGGGCGGAGGCCACCCCAACGCCCGGCGGATGGCCTTTGCCAGCAAGAGGCAGAGCACCATCGAACAGCTGCACTTCATCCCCGGAGGAGGGGGAGGCCACGGACTGCGGACTGCGAGTAAGAACGAGGTGACGGTGTGAGAGGAGGAGGGAGAGAGGACGAGAAAGAGTCAGGGAGGAGAGGTGAAGGCTGAAGAGATAAAGACAGGACGAGGGAAGGAAAGTGTTGAGGCATTTAGTGGGAAGACGAGGCAGCTGAAAAAGACATGAGGTTTTAACCCGTCACAACACACAGAGTGGTGGACGTCAACATTAATATCAGTGAGCAGAGCCACTTGATTTCCTCCTCGTCACTTTGCGTGTTGAAAAAGAATATTCAGCCATTTTCTGCAAAGGGAAGACAGACATGTCCACTTCAAAAGAGCAAAAAATACAGTATGAGTGAAGTTTTAAGGCTGCTGGGTATTCGCTGTGACTTTTATTGAAGGATACCCGCTGATTATAATTTATTGACTTGTCCTCGACTTTTATTGCGCTGTCCTCTGAGTCCTCGAGCGCTCTGACAGAACTTCTTCTGTCTTTGAATCCACTGTGGATGACGGAGAGCGCCGAGGCAGAGACAGACCGGTTTGCTTGTCTTTGTATTTATAAAAGTATTTAAAACCAAACAACTCTTTTATAAGATTTAACCTGATATTAATAACAACGATAGTATTAAGATAACGGAGCCCTGTTGGACTTTGTGTATAAAAACGTATATTTATCCTGAAATCAGCCAGTTTGTCATTTCAAGGCCGAACATGTGATGTTGTGATTGGACTATCATGAAAGTTAAACTGCTAAATTAATCCAGCTAAGTGCAGTTCTCTGTCACATGATTGATTTGTGGTTTTGATTCACAAAATAAGTGAAAATACAATTAATGCTTTTAGGCAAAAAACAAAACCTACGTCATTGGAAGCTGCTGCTGTAAAGGCCCAGTCACACCAGCGTTTCAAATGGATTCACGTCAAAATGTAATTATTTCAGTGATATTGTTGTTGTCACTGGATTTTTCTTCAATCCTAATGACAAGATTAATTTTGGTGAACTGTGATTAGTGAATTAGACTAATTACTGAATCTAAATTGGGGTAAGCTAGCGTGGCTACGTAGCTACCTTTATTTTACCTGTAGGTTAGAAAAGAGGCATGTTTTTCTAGACGGTTATGACGCAGACATTTGTGGTGAAGAAATAAGTCTTTTGAATAAACTGTGAACTTGTTGAATTTGTGAAACTTTGTGAAATTGTCTTGACCGAGCTGATGAGCTAGCTGCTAACTGTTATCCCGTTAAGCCTGTTAGCTTGTTCAGCTTTTTTCCCCCTCTATTATTAAATTATGTAAAATAAGAAACTGCCAGATGAGAGTAGAACGCACACGAGAGGAAAATTGAAGTATCGTGACTGACCTGCGCTGTGTCATGGCTGCTTAGCATTTTAGCGATTAGCCTGTCAGCAACTGTAGTTCAACAGCTAACCCTGTCAGGGGTAGTAGAGCTGTCACTTTTTCCAAAAATAAAGTTCGAACTAATTTTACACGAAGCGAAATGAGTTTGGATGTAATCGACAGCCGCCCCCTTTGATGTCTTTGATTGTACACTCAGGATGCCTTTGCCTGCTAGCGTCCTCCATTTTCTTGACTAAGTAACATTACTGGCTAACTTTACTGATAGGTCAAGAGTTCATTTGGTCAAGCGCCCTCCGCTGGTTCACCAGGCAAACTACTCCAAACTGTATGATGCGCTTCTAAATTGAATATTAATATTTTCTCCCCACATATGAACGACTGTGGGAACTTTGAGTAACAAGTGACAGTCCTCTTCGGGAGTCTGGACATCCCCGAACTTTTTTAAGACCAAACATTTGGATGAATTTTAATGTGCCACTTCCTGGTGTGACCGGGCCTTAAAATCCATTTTAACTTAAGGCCTTTGTACAGTGAACTCTAGTGGGCTTTTATCATTGTGCTGTGACCCTTTGCGTAATGAAATGAATTACAAGTTTTAAGACTCAAGACTCTGTGTGGGTCAAACATTTTAATATCGACGCTGACAAAGCAAACGTCCCTCAAACACTGTTTTGAACTTTGAAAGTCGGAGGTTACTGTTTTTGTGATCGATTGCCGTTAAGCAAATCCTCCCTTTTGTCTACGACGGCACGCGTTACCTGCGAGTTCAGCCGCTCACCTCTTGTGGAAGGAAAAGGGGTCAGACGGGTTCAAGGCCGGGGACAATGGACACTTCACACTAAGGGCTATACTGAATTATCTTTGTGTCTGTGCTCTGTACAGCGTCTGCTTCTCATTTCCATGTGTCGGTGTCAGGAGGCATGCTTGTGCAAACATTCTTTTTTTTTTTTTTTATACGTGTAGAGAAAAAATATAAACATGCAAAGAAATTCAAGGCAAAGGAACTTTTGTGGGACATGTAAAAACACCCGACCACGAATTCTCGATAGCACGGCGGGAGAAGTGTTTGCCATGATGATGTCATATTTTGTACATTTTTTAGTTCTCTGGCTGTGAGATGGACCTTCTGACCACGAGGGTTGGATTCACCCTCTCTGGGGTTTAAGGGACTCGCGAGGCCTCGTCTGAGGTTTTCTGTTTCCCCTCGATAACGACGGATGTGATTGCCGCCAGCCACTTTTAGTCTTTAACTACAAATACGTGTGCTCACGTGTTAATGGTTTATGATCATACTTGTAAAGAACCCCCCCCCCGATCAGACGCTCTTTATCACGATCGTTATTTTTGATTTGCTTATTTATTTTTTTGTCGAAAACACGCATTTATTTTTTTAAATCTCTGAACTTTAATGTACAATCCTGGATTTTCAATATTCAAACTTTCTAGTGGAATTTTAAAAAAAGAAAAGAAAAAACATTTGTACACTCAACAAAAAGAGCCGATGCAATCAAAGAGAAAAGACGAAACCGCATGACGATGTCAGAAGCCAGTGTTGATGATGTCATAGTGCTGACTGATGATGTCACGGCGTGTATATGTGTCAATGTACATGTGTCTGTTTTCATTTGTGTGCCCGTGTGTGTAACTCTCTCAGTGTCTTCTTCTTCTTAAGGAATGCTGAACCTCAGTTTTGACCAAACTCGGTTTTTGTCTTCAGCACACGAAGACGACTTCAATGCCCGAGTCTCATTACCTGTTCATATCGACTTGTAATGAAATTTTAAAGGCCTGTCGTCGTTTGATTTTATTTCTTATTTCTTTTCCTTTGAAAAAAAAAAAAAAAAAAGGGGGGAACATTGGTCAATCACAGCTTTTCTGGTCGAGCTACATTCACCAAAACGAGGACTTTTCAAACGTTTAACGATGGGAGGCTTATATATTGTGTCAAGTTTTGGTATTTGAACAGAAGTGAAACAGCCGAGTGCGTCGGTTATCGCTCGCTCAACGACGTTTGTGTGGCTTGAACGTGTACCTGCAAAAAGCGATTTGTCTTTTGTAAGCTACTTTCTCATTTGTGCTCATTCGAACAGAACTTTAAAGGCACAAATGCGACTCGACGAACAGTAATAACTCAGCTTTTTAAAGTTGCAATGTACGTGAAGGAGGAAGAACGAGGGTTTTTTTTCCCCGTCGGTTGTGGAGGAGTTTGTATTGCGACTTGCCTTCGGCTGAAAGGACTCGATAGGCTTTGTGGTTTTTACACTGAAAACATCTCATTCACTTTTAAAAGAGGAAGCGGCAAAAAAAAAAACAGCGGGAGGGGAAATGTAAATGACACGTGGAAATTCAGTTTGTATTTTCTTTCTCATTTCTCCTCATTCCTTCAAAAGTCTGATACTCATGTTGTAATCTGTTTGGGTAAATGCTCCCCTGATCAACCTGTGTGTGTGTGTGTGTGTGTGTGCGTGCGTGTGCCACGGAGGGGAAGGCATGGGTGTATTTGTATTCTCAAAGCTACTCTGCATACCTCAAATTGTATGATACATTTATTTATTACATCCCCTTATATGTCTATTTCCAAGAATATCCAGACAGAGGTCTCACAGATGTGCAACCCTTTTGTTATTGGTGATGGATTCTTGCGTTTGTAGAAATCATACTGTTTGATTGATAATAACAATAAAAGAAAATCCCACTAAATGTCGTTTGTGTGTCTTGTTTGATGGAACCGGACTCGTCTCAGTTTTGAATTCACAGGCTCATGTTCAGTGAGTAGATGAATGGATTAAACAGAAAGTAATCACAGGTAAAAAGTCAAAACCTTTCCTGATTTACAGTTTCTGAAATGTTTTCTTAGTTTTATGCTACCTGCTCATTTTGAATGAAATCCGGAACCGAATAAATACTGAGAATCTGAAAGCAGATCTGACGTCACTTGACAGACGTTGACACTGAATGTTCAGGACATACATGTACTGAACACGTGTTTTTTTAATCGTCCAGCCTTAAACGCATTTAATCCTCACTATGTTTTGAACTGGAGTGGGGGAAATGTTCATTGCAGTGCTGTGTTTCCAGATTCAGTCCCGCCTCCTCGTGTCTCAGCACCCGAGGGAGCAATTTGAGGCTCCACAGGGGAACAACACGTCTGCATCCCATCCCACCCACCACTTTAACACAGCGTACCACATTCATTACATTCATTCACATATAAGAACGTGAGGAAATGACAGGGGGAGCCAAAGACGCAGCAGAAATAATGAGTCTCTCCTGACCTCCACTCCACTGACCCTCCACATTTCTGTTTCCTGTTTGTTTTATGACATTTCAAACTCGTGATAAGTAAAGAACGAGAGTGTAAAAGCCATTCTGACTTTGTGTTATAGTGACGACAGATTGTTTCCAAACCTCGTCAAACCAAAACAAGACTCTCAGGATGAAAAGATGAATTTATGTGTAGTTTGAAGCTGCTCATTGGTGAAATGACCCTTTAATTGTCTTACTGAGCTTTTGTTCACACTCTGTTTATTCATTGGTTCTACACAAAATACATGTACTATAATAAGTGTTGTATTTACACTATGTTTATATGTTACCTTATATATCCTCACCACAGGGAATAAAAATAAAACTAACCCTAACCTAAACTCTAACCTTCATCTAACCTTAAAACATGTTAAACGTGTACAACATACAACACACATGTTAAGATTTACCCATTTGCGTTTTAATTATTGGCTTTTGTCCCCATCAGGAAGACAAGTCCCTATAATGAGTGTGTACACAGATTTAGGTCCCCACAACATGAGTAGTACCTGCAAAACACACACACACACACACACACACACTCTGCAGAAAAACTGTACTATAAGTTTAATTGAATATAAATTGAGTCACCAGCAACACATGCATGACACCACACACACACACACACACACACACACACACACACACACACACTGTGATGTTGTGCAGCACGCGCCGTAATGATATCTTTAATTGACTAATTAACATTTCACACACTTAGTGTGAGAACACACACATTCACACACTCATGCAAACACACACACTGACAGGGGCCTTAATGATGCTCAGTGATTTCTAATGGAGCGCTAACATGCCCACACACGCACGTGCACGCACACACACACACACACGCTGTGTTCACGCGCATCGCGCTGCACAGACGGATCCATATTTCTCCAACGGGGGCAGAGGTGCATGTGAGCGGGGCGGTGGTGAGGTGTCGGCCGGACTGACCGACCTGCTGCTGGCGCTACCCGGAACCATTATGCAGACAGGAAACTACCATTTTAACGCCAGCAGCATCCGAGGAGCCGTCGTGTGCGCGGGGGGACACCGAGGACCGACACGGGCCGGAAACCAGCCAGCGGAGGCCCGGAGAGGGGAAACCACGACGGGGACTAAACAAAGGCGCCGCTGGAGCGAAGAGCAGCCGTGAGAGTGCAGCGAGGCGGCGGCGGCGGCGGAGGATGGAGGCACCGGGCCGGAGCAGCGGAAACAGTCCGTGTTAGCGGGACCGAGGCGGAGGGAGAACCAGGCCCCGCTGTGTTTTTCCATGGACGGTGAAAAAGGCCCCGCGGACAGGCAGCAGGTTCCCCGCTCTCTCGGCGCTCCTCGGCGTTTCGACTCTTTCTGCGCCGCGTTCCCGAGCGTCTCCCCCGCACAGGCATCCCGCGATCCACGGTAAATAAAATAAAAAAGACTCGAATTAAAACTAAAACAAGCCGTTTACAGCGAGGAGAGGATGGGAGGGACGGGAGGGGGGGAGGGTTAGCTTGTGAGCTAGCTGCTCGGCTAAAGCGCTGCTAGCTGCTCGGCTAAAGCTGCTAACGAGCAGGGACACATCGCTGATGTCAGATTGTGTGTTTTTTATATATAAACTCTAATTAACGAGTTGGTAAATGAATGTAAAGCTCTTTGTTTGTGTCATGGTTGAAACGGTGCAGTCTTCAGGAGTTCTCGGTGGAGAAGCGCTTGTCCTGCAGCTGATTGACGGATGCTAACAGACCCTGGTCACCGTGTGGTAACAGCAGTCTGCTCCTGTCCAACCCGCCCGGACATCGGGGCTTCTGTTTCAGACCGTCGGCCTGAAGTCACCACCGGGTCGCGGCGGAGAAAGCGGACGGGTCCTCCCTTCTGCCTCCCCGGACACACCGCTGGGATCCCGGCGAGACGAGCTGCGGATGAGCCGGTGAGACACGAACATCACAACACGGTCAGTGTGCGCTTCATGAATCTCTCTGGTTCCCCACAACTTCAACCTCACGACACGAAGTGTGATGTGAACTCTGCACACACGTGAGGACGCGTCGCTTTTTGCTGCAGAAACGATGCAGCTCAGACTGAAAACAAGCGTGTGTCTGCAGCGTGTGTGTGTCTGCAGCGTGTGTGTGTCTGCAGCGTGTGTGTGTCTGCAGCGTGTTGCACAGCAAGATGCATCCTTTTCTTCTTCTGCTGCCGCTTCAAACAATCTCATGTTTTACTTTTCTAAACTAAAGAATCGTGAATATTCAATGTGATCGTCAGGAACACCTTTTATTTTGCAGCTGTGTGACGCAACAGCTGAACCTGAAAATAACCAACGAACAATTTAAAACCTGATTTATCGCTTATTTTTTCTCTTATTGCAGATTATATATAAAAAATCAACAGATAGTGATTAGAAAATGAAACTAGATCAGTAGAACTCGTTCCTCCACCAAGGCTGAACAGTCCCTTTTAAATTCAACCAAGCTGCATGAATTTACAACTCAAATTACAATTTCTTTTCTTAGAGATCTTTAAATGATTCCATCATATTGTAAATACTGAAGCAATGACGGCTTTTGACAATTACCTGCTGAGACAACCCCTCAGTGATTTGTGGGACTCTAATCTAATGTTAGGAATATGTCAACAATCCCGACAGTAAAGCTATGATCCAACAAGCTGTGGTTTTATTTCACATTGTGCAGAAATCATGGAGGAGGATGTTGGATGATTTGTTAGCTGGTGTTTCTGAAAGAGGAGATCTAATCAAATCGTCCTGTATGGTGCGTTGAGTGTAAAATAAGTTTATAAATAACGTTTCTAAGAGTGTGAGGCTGGTGAACAGAAGGATCTCAGTATCATTCGTTCGATGGTTTATATTTTATTCTTAATATTGTTCAGATGTTAATCTGTATTACCGTTTGGTTGTTGGACTTTTTTTTTTTAAATCATGAGCTTGTGTTATGAGTCCCTCTGTGTCGTTCATGCTTCAGCCTCCACGCAGCTGTGAGGATGTTTGGCTTCTGTCTCGGGGGGAGACTGGTTCATGTGGAGCTGAGGAAGGTCGGCGTTAAGACTTAACCACAGTTTACATAAAGCTGACAAAAACAACCAAATATACAGAACAGGAATTAAGAAAATGATTAATTTCTAAGTTAAAATATAAACATAAATACACTTAATTCTGCATAGTTTATTCTGTGAAATCAAAATCAGCAAACAAACACTGTTGTCTGTCTATTGTACAACCAGCGTATTAAAACAATAAGGATTATAGCCTCTCTGTGTTACTGGGTCATGCCTGAGTAGATGTAGCATTGAAGCAGTTGAATCTGTAGGATTAAGATACTGAGGAGGACCGGAGGTGTGCGTATGGGTGGAGGTGTTTGTGTTGAGCTGAAACAACTTCACTGACAGAAAATCAACAAGTGTGCTGTTAAGTTTTACAGTGTTTGCACAGTATAACATTAAGATAATAGACATCTTGTCTGAAAAGTCGGACCTCGTGTGATGTGAAGCAGCGCACGCTTCTGGTGTCGAGTGATAGCAGGCGCTAGAAATAAAACGAGGAAGCATCAGTTTCTATATTGGTGGTGAATTGCTCTGTCGTGTTACTGGACCATGTTTGCATGAAAACATTTTCCTCCTAATCGGTAACAAAAACCTCGGAGCCACAGAAACCAAACGGGATCGTAATCAGTGGAGTTAATCAAAAAGGTCAGACTCTAAGTATCACATTTCATTTTGGACGGACGGGATCTGTGGATCAGCAGCTCGTGTTTTCTTCTCACACACAAAGACACTGTCCACCACCGCGCCATTTTTTTCTTATTTAATCTGGCATTTAGGTCGGTGTGTGAGGTGACAGGCGGCCATGTTCTCCTGCAGGAGGTGGACAGGAGTCATGTGGCGTTTCCAGCCACTGCTCCTCTTCCCTTCTCTTCCTGTTGTTTTTTTTTCTTGTTACGATCACCAGTGGAAGGGCAGCAGGAGATAATACATTTCACTGATGAATTAACTTCATGTGTTTAAAAGTAAAACATTGACATTTGTGAAGAAGCTGCAGCCGAGAGCAGTTTTGACTTTTTGGTTTTTAAAAATTAAATGATTCGTAATCAGAAGTTTATTTTCTGTCGATTATTCAACTAATCATTTCACCTGTTCTATCGAAGTGATTTAACTGCCGTGTTTATCCAAACATACAGAACAAGTCGTTAAGTTAGAAATGTTTATCTTTCTTATCCTGCTGAAAACAGCAGATTGTTGTTAATCCTGTTTTAATAAATCACATATATTTACAATCATTCTTTTATTTTTTTTGTAGATTGAATTGGACCTTGGCCGTTCTTTTTCTTTTCTTTGTTTGAATAAAACTTTGCTAAACTTGTAATATACAATAGTTTAACTTAAGCTCA